TCCAGCACTTCTAGTGTATGTTAATCCTGTTTCTGTTAAATAGGCTGGGGCTTAGGTGAAAGTGGAGCCAGCACCAAGATAAAGGTCTGGGCATTTGGCTTTCCTGCTGTGGCATGTTTTGACCTTGAAGGGCATTAGAGTATGCATAAATAGTTAAGATCATCTGTGTGTAATTATGACCTGTTTCTAATTTTTCTTTCCAATTTAGAACTTAAGTTCTCCTTAGGGGTTAGGAAGTTACATTATTAAATTTCTAAAGCATTCATCTATCCGTATTTACTATAGTGGTGGCTGTCATTTGTAAAATGCCCAGGACATTTTCATAAAGGGACTATGACATTTAGTGCACTGTAAGGGGCGGCATGTTAGTTGGGGTTAAACTGCAGTACTATTAGACTGTGAAAGTTATTTCTTTTACCTTTGAATGCTTTTAGTAAATATATGAAAGGAGCTTATAATAAAAAGGCGTTCTGCTCTCAAACTATATAAATTTTGTTACATACTGTATACTAATATATAGTAATATAAGAGATTTAGAATGAATTTTTTTACATATGAAAATTTAAACATTTTGTTTTCTTCAGAACATAAATTGACATGTTTCAAGCACTTTTTTATACTTTTTTAAAACTATATTTGTCAGAAATAAGATACGGTATACAACATAAAATTAAAAATCTCTGACAAGACAAAGGAAGACATGAGTAATAACCTAACTTTTAATAGAGCCTCAAAGGAATGCTCTTAAATATCCATGACAGTGGTAGCAATTCAACTTATAAGGCTGCCTTGCCTTTTTATCAGGATGAAGGAAAAGGTAGAAATTACTGAGAAGAGATTTCACGGCTAGGGGCAGACTTAGTGATTTCATGTACTATCTTATGTATCCATCTGTCCTTGTATTTTACTGTGTTGCATTTCACAGTTTTCCTTATTTCATCCTGCATTCACTGCCTGTGTAGGCATTGGTCTTCTCTGAGATCACATCTTCATGAGGGCGTTGTCTAAAAGTGACTGCTAAATGTACCTGGAGTTAGAAACATATGGGTTTGCCCCTTCTAATGTTGAACTATGAAGGAAATTAACTCTTACAACTTACTGTGAGTTTTTTTTGTGTCACCGAAAATTATCTTGGAGGCGAAATTGTCTTGGATGTGGACTTGAATTGATTAACATACAGTGAAATCAATTATTTCTGCTGTGATCACTCTCATTTAGGAGGCGTTATGTAGTGAGAGAAATACTATAGAAATATAATATTAAATATTTTACATAATTGTCATCATCTTTTAAAATATTTCACTGTAATTCAGTCCTAAAGTCGGCTTAAAAGATGAAACCTTTTGAAAATGTCCGAAGATTTTTTCCCCCTTATTGATACTGTAAATCTGATTTGGGACTTAATCTACTTAATCAATTACTTTGCAACATTCTTTTATAAGGGGAGGACGTATTAGATTTTAGGGGGAATCTTTACTTTTTATGGAAGGTATTTCCAGTCTTCTTAATAAAAAGATGGTTATTTAAAAAGCCAATCTACTTGTGGTACTTAGTTTTTTCAGTAAAGACCAAATTGAATAGCCAGTTTATGTCTTCAGAGAGCTACCTTTGAAAAGAACTTAGGTTTATATATTCACTTTTAATCATTTTAGTTATGAATTAGGTGTATCTTTATGATATATTGAATTCTAAATAATATAAGTACCTGAAATATAATAAAACTTTATGGATCACATTACATGAGTTATCTACATTAGTTATTAAAAAAGTTAAATACAAATTGAAATGGATAAAGTTATAGTAAAATAAGTCAAAATTCATATTTAAATTTTAATGAAATAGAAATATATATTTTTTTATTATAAACAAATTAGTTATGTTTATACATAGTTAATAAATATTCTCAGGTATTTGTGGGCCAAGACTGTTGTTGTATTCTTTATCAATAAAGGCCAAAAAGCTCTGGAGAAATAATAAATATGCCAATTTATAAGAGGTATTATTATACTATTTCTTTCATTTTTTCCCATGGTCTAGCCCTTTAGAATCTGATACTTGAAATAAATATTATTTTCTAACTTAAATGAAGCTTATTAAGAATTACAAGATGGTAATTATTTTTAAGAAAAAGCACCCACTAGGTTATTAGCATCATTTTCCTCAAAAAGATACAGGATTACAAACTCATATCCATTCCTGAAGTAGAATTGCTGCTTATAGAACATGTGTTATGGTACTGTCTGTTGAAAAGTTTAGCAATTATATATCATGACATAATAATCAGCATACTTTTGGTCTGTGAAGTAAAATACTCCTCTGAAAATCTGTTCCCAGGTATTGCTATACTTTTCAAGAGAATGTTCTATGTTGTATTAGTTCTGGCTGACTCAGATACTTGCTTTTTGGTTTATCCTATAGTATATATTTAGATCCTCTACAGATGAACTGATGTGTTCTAGACAGGAAGTGGTATGTAGGAGATATAGGAATGGGCTGAAGTATCCTTTATATTTGCCTTTGTATCTAGGGGAGTTGGAAATAGGCAAGAATGGAGAGAAATTTTGTATGGCAGTACACAGAATTTTGCAAGTTTATTGTGAGCCCTGCAACAATCCGATGCATTTTAGTTACTGGTAAGTTTGTTAAATTATGTTTGAAATTGTACCTCTTCGAAGATGGCCATCTATTTACTATTACGTCCACCATGTCAATTATACCTTATTATAACGATTTTTTTTTTTTTTTTTTTTTTTAAAGATGTGGTATTGCTATTGCATTGGGTTTTAGGT